AGACAGGGAGCAAAGGGCCACAATAATATTGTGAGTACGAGACAATGTCAGAGCTGTTCAAATGCGGTGTGAGGGGCCATGGGGTAAATGATACGGGAACACACACTCATACAACTTGTTGGTCGAGGACGCAGCGAGCCAGCCAAGCTCAGAGATCAGGGGAGTTTACTGGGCATCACTCCTGGCAACCCATTCTGGGCCGTGGTCTGATTCTTCAGTGCCAAGGGTGAGTACCAACCTGCAAGTCTTTTTTAAGATGCCACAGAAGTGTGTGTGCACACGCTCACACACACTGTTCTGAGGATGAATGCATATTATCAGGAGGACTTTTGAGTGCTTTCCACAACAGAACGTTAAATATCAGGACAATGTTACTACAGCTAGCAAAATTACTAGATATGAAAAATTCACTCTGGATGTTTAAATAAAGTATAGTATATAGTAAATCTACTATAACTACTAACTAAATAAATAAATCCATGGACGTTCCAAAAGGTAAAAATAAAAAAATAAAAAAAATAGCTTAAAATAAAATAAAACAAAACTAAACTAAATAAAATAAATAATAATACTCAGTCACTCAGTCACTCACTCACTCCCTGGGTGTTCCCAAAGGTAAAATGAAATTAAGTATATGCATATAAATACATATATAGAAATATGAAAATAATAAAATATGTAATATAATGTAATTAAATTTAATATAAAAATAAACATTAAATATACTAAAAAGAAAATAAATAAATAAATACACACACATTGGAAGAAAAAAATTATAATTTTTAATCATTTATTTTTTTAGGTGATGCGGTTTTGGTTAGTCTGTACGCATAATTATCTTTATGGTACGTCCTCATTGGAAAGCTAGGTAAATATGTGAATGTGTCTGGGTTAGGATGTCTGGCCGTTTCAGGTTAACTGATAAGTGAAGGTTGTAAACTTATTAACTTTCAGTGGCTTATAATAACACATTGACCCAGACCTCAATGCACATTTTGACCCATACTGAACCACAGAAGACAAATCAAACGTTTATCATCAGGACTTATCTTTCCAAGACTTTAAGATACACAGGCACTTGCACTTGACTTTGAGGGCACTGAGAAGTGCACTAGATAATTGTTACCTTGACTTCTGCTATTACTGAAGCAAACAGTCTAAGACTTTCCTCTCCAAGTAAGAGAGGTCACTTCATATTACAAGCACCGCACACACATACACTCACATAGCTCGGCTCTATTGTGTAAGTGTCTATGAGAAACGGATGTTAGTCCACTGATGTCCTGATAAACAGGTCCATTAGATCCTTCGTTCAGCACTGTAGGAATGAAAATCACTCTCACACAGACCAACGCCTCACACTGAAATCCCCCTTTCCCCTTCCCCAGGTTCAGTGTAAAGGTGACGAGTGATAAGCTGGAATAATCAGACGATCAGCGTTCCTTGTGTCCAAGTTGATCAATATCTGTCCAGCCATGGATTTTCTTCATGCTAATTGTTCTAGGTAACATTTAACAAAGAATATTTAAGTGTTAAACAGCTAAATCAAAATGATGAATCTAGCATTTTGTTTCACACCGATTTTCTTGTTTTCTCCCAGTTTTAAATAACAATAATTAAGCTTTAAATAGCAACACAATCAAAATCCATCCAACAATTCTAGATAACACCTTAAGGAATAAATTAAAGAAGGCTGTCAGTGCAAAAAAGGAAAAAGAAGAATGCATTCTTTTACCTCCACGCAGCCAAAATCTATTCTTTATGAAAACTGATAACGGTCAGTCTTTTGTATCTCTCTCTCCAGGTTTTGTCGCTATAAGGAGGTACAGCATGATTATAAAAACATGTGTGATGCCGGAAGCCATAAAGTCTAAGCCCAACTCTTTGTTATGACAAGGTGTCATAGTTGAACAATTATGTCGCATATCATAATGCTGTGTCTGAACAGGTTCTCTTCCTCTCTTTCTCTTAGTTTCTCTTTATGTAAACCTTTAGAAAAGTAAAATATTTAGAAAATCTAGACCCAGCTTCTTTATTACTCATCAAATATCAAAATTACACTTTAGATTGAGAAACGTTTGGATTTGATTCTTCTAGTGGATCTCACATTTTGTAAAGTTGAATATGGAAAATACAATAGGCCTGTTTAACATTTAAATGAATCCTCAACATACGTCATTTCATTTGAAAAGGCCGACTGGTGCTTCAAGGGTTCTTTTGTTATCTGTAGACAGGCAAACGGTAAGTTCATTTCATAATAACTGGGTTCACTGAATATCTCACTATGCGATTTGGGATCTCCAAAATAATCCTGATAGCATGAACTGATCACGTGATTATTGTTTCGTTAGATTTAGCTTGCTGTGCTGTGTAGTGGTTCAAGAAAGCACGACAAAACTTCAACTCAACCCAATCCAACCCAGCTAATCTCCACTTAAATCTACTTAGTCCAGATCAATGCAGTCTGAATTTGATACAGTCCATCTCTACCTATCTCAGTTTATTCCAGTCCGGCCTATTTTGCTTTAACTAATCTTAATTTAATCTATTTGATCTCAGTTTGCCTCATATTAATTTATTTCAACTCACTTAACTCAATAAAACTAAGTTTAATCCTGCTTAACTCAGCTCATCTTAATTGAATCCAGCTCAACTTGACTTAAAAGTTAAATCCAATACATCTCAACTCAGTTTAATCTCAGTTCAATTCAGACCAACTCAACTCAGTTTACAATATAATTGAATCTAGTCAAACTCAGTTCAGTATAACTCAGTGAAACGCATTTAATCCAGTTTATCTTAATCCTACTACACTCTTAAAAATAAAGGTGCTTCACGATGCCATAGAAGAACCTTTTTGTCTAAATGGTTCCATAAAGAACCTTTAACATCTGAAGAACCTTTCTGTTTCACAAAAGGTTATTTGTGGTGAAAGAAGGTTCTTCAGATTATAAAAAGGTAAGAAAGAGATGGTTCCTTAAAGGACCTTTGACTGAATGGTTCTTTGTGGAACCAAAAATGGTTCTTCTATGGCATCGCTTGAAAAACCTTTTGAAGCACCTTTATTTTTAAGAGTGTAGACTACTCAGATTCTCTTGAAATATGGACAGAAAACGTTTACATTTAAAAAGCTGCCTTTTAAACACACAAAAATGACAAACTAACCTCACAGAATTGGTTCAACCAAGGAAGAAAATAAAAGGTAAACAGTAAAATTTTGTGGTGTGTAAAATACTGTGAATAAAAGCTGTGAATTTATGGATGTGACTCATTCTCTTTGACTTCTCTCTCTCTTTGAGAGTCTCTTTCTAACTCTCTTTCACTCCATAAGGATTCAGGAATTTGTCGTCCCTCATATCCGAGTGCAAAGATACAAAATGTGTGATTATCATCATGCTTGACCGAAAGAGTGAGTGTGGGTGTGTGTGTGATCCTGGCCTGTGGTCCTTCACGCTACAGCCAAGATACAAAAGACCAAAACACAGTGACACACATAGAACTAGAACGAAAATGCAGAAGGAATCTGCTATTAAAGATAGGAGAAACACCTTTAAACACTTCATTATGTCGGCCATGCAGGTGCTCTTAGTGTGTGTGTGTGTGTGTGTGTACCTGTTTTTCTATTCTGGTGGGGACTTAAACCTGAATACACACAGACTCATGGGGACTTGTGTCACGGTGGGGACCTAAATTGTGGTCCCCACGGGTAAACAAGCTAATTAGAATTAAGTTTTTTGAAAATCTAAAAATGCAGAAAGTTTCCTGTAAGGGGTAGGTTTAGGTGTAGGGTGGGTGTAGGGCAATAGAATATACGGTCTGTACAGTATAAAAACCATTACGCCTATGGAGAGTCCCCACAAGGATAGCAAACCAGACATGTGTGTGTGTGTTCTCCACGTACCTGCTCATGTATCTGGCAGGCTGTGAGGTTGTGTTGGTGGGTGGATGGAGAGATCTGGACGTGCCTTAGCCAGCTCCTGCTATCACACACGCGCCCATCCAAACCGGTCTGCTCGCCCTGAGAGAGAAAGAGAAGAGAGAGAGATCAGTCTTTGATCTTGATTACTGTGCAGTGACTAAAATCTCATGCCACCCACTGAGGCTTAGAAAACAGGGATACAGATAAGTCAAACTTATTGACACACACACACACACCTTTTCTCTAAGACACTCACACACTCTCTGACAACATCTTCTTTGCACACTTTGCTTCTCTCCCTCATTCACAGCCTCTTCACCTTTGCTTTTTAGTCATCAAGCGAATGTCACAAACAAAACAAAATTCTTAACTCCATCTTAAACATCTTATAGTGGCTCAGCTAACTGGCATCTTTTCAAGTAAGTTTTACACATCAACACCACAATGCGTTTTTGAATTTAAAGTATTGTTTTGCGAAATAGACACAAAAATTATATACATACAATTTATACACTTTCAGTACCTAGTTAGTAGTTAGTCTATCTTTAGTTTTTCAGCAAATATCCATAGCAAACAATTTAAAGGTTTTACAATACATTTAAAAGTAAAATGGAAATGCTTTAAAATGGTCTAAATTGCAGATTTGAATGCAAACAAAAAGATTTTGCAAAGACACATTTTTTTTTATAAAGACACAGACTTTCAGTCTGCCCAGTAACAGTCTTCACATTGCTGCATTTTCTGCCAAAACTCTTGAAACTAAAATAACGGGTTTGTTTTTCACAGAGCTGCCAAACTACCGTTACAGTCCCTACAAACTCTCTCGCTCTTTCCGTCAAGTGTAACGAATACAAACAAATTATTAACAGAGAAAAAACGAGACAGTTGCATTTTAAGAGCAAACTAAACATTTCTTTAATATTTAGGCTTTGAGTTTATGTAGTTTAAGGCCAAATAAATCCACCGCACGCAAACTCTAAAAAAACGAATTTGTGTTGAAATAAATAGATAGAAACAAAATGTCAGAAAGTGCATAGCTATGTAGCAAAAGCGTATTTCAAGTGTCTAGAGAGAGATTTTTTAAAACAATGTGCTTTTGTAGAATTTTTTTTTTTTAATTACTACAAACTAAACTCGTAAAACTAGACACATTTGTCAGCTGTAATAACTTTCGGTTCTATTTTCTATTGTGATGAGAATGCATCCTTCATTGAACAAAATTCGTTTCATTTGGAAAACAAAAACAAAACGTGAAATATTGCTCAGAAAACAAGTTTCAACTGAAAAGTAAATAAAAATCAGTTACTCAGGGGAAAAAAAAACAAATACTACAAAAGTACAAAATCTATAGACAAAGAAAATAATAATAATAATAATAAAAAGCTAGAGATCTTAGCGACACGCATAGCATTTAAGCGTTCCGCTTCAGAGCAAAGAACCAAAGCCCTTCGTCTCGACACAATTAAACAAGTTCAAAGGTGAAGGATGAACAGACTTTTATTTGACCATTAATTCGCGGCTTGTCAGAGAGAAACGTTGATATAAGAACATAAACCGCCTACCTTAAGAACTCCGTGGAAATCTCACTGGGAAAATGAATCATGAAACTGCCCCAAAAAACTCACACAGCCCCGAATGAAGCTCGTGCGCGACCGCTGTGTTTGCGGCATGTATCCGTGTCTCTTGCTGAAGAAAAACAAATCGCCGCTTCTCTCCTCTCGTTTTGCTCTTATCACGCGGACGACACGCTCATTTCCCCCGCGGACAAAAACTTTGTCCAACTTCAGTCCGTCCTTCCACGAATCGTTCCGTTGAAAGTCCCCAGGTGTCGTTCGGTCTGGCTGGCGGTTTTAGTCACTGTCTCTCTTCCTGGCAAAAAGGAACAGAAGGACGGCGAGGATCGTCCACCTTCAGTGACCTGAACGCGTAGGAGTGTCTCTGTCTGTCCCGTTCAAGTGGATCCTCTCTTGTCCCATGCGAGGGAGATGCGCTGAGGAGGAGGAGGAGGAGGAGGAGGAGGAGGGGAGGGGGGACCTCCACGCGAGGTTGCGCGAGGCTCCTCCACGATCTCGGTGAGGCGAGGTCAGCGCGAGGTCGGGACGGGGCTGCTCGTGGATGGACCCGAATCTCCCTGCTTTAATGAAGGCATCCAGTAATCCCGAAATCTGCGGCGTTTTCCCTCCCAGCTTGCTTTGCTCGCGGGGGAAGGTCACGAAAACGAGGGAGGCTCGCGCAAGTGAAAGTGCGCCGAGGTGTAACACTGTTGTTTCTTTCCAACTAAATGACGTGCAATTAACATTACGACTCATTTAAGAACTAACATTTGCGTTTAGCTTTAGTAAACACACACAGAGCTACCTTAACCTTTCAAATAGCCTAATCGTTTGTATCTTCTTTCTCGATCCCCTCGTGCACAATACACCTGCTCCTAGACAGCCCACGACTGAATACGACACAAAGCGAAATCAATCCTGCCCACCTCTTCACACAAAGCAAATGCAATATTTCACCAAAAAATAATAAATAAAAAGAATCGCAAACTTCAAGTTTATTATGAGCAGGAAAATCATTTCCTACTATTTTGACATCTCCATAAAATTAAATGCTTTTCCGTGCAATACTTTTTCAACACTAGGTGGTTATTATTCACGATTTGGTTTGCATTATTTATATTTTAAATCTAGCGAACTATTAAAAAAAATTCAGTTTTAACAAGCGCTTAACCCGGTTTTTTAAGTTTCTAAAGAACTTGCGAACTTGAATGATCTCATTTTGCATTAGTCCCTTATTTTTAAGAGTGAGACTCCTGGACTCTTGGAGCCCAGCGCATGTAACAAACGCAATCCACTGACGGGACTCTAATGACTCTGATGAAGATGAATATGTCTCCCTGGCCTATCTTTGACATTGAACTCAAGGTCCAGATAATGTCCATTGTTTAATGAAATCGCAGGGCAGGAGCGGAGGAAGGACAGGAAAAAAAATCATGTGTAAATACGGCGGCCCTCGTCAAAGATTCCCATACCCGCGCTCCTTGAGAACCGCAAAGAGACCCCGGTCCGCCGCGCATCGATTTCCTGCCATTCCTCGACTTGTCCATTGTTGGAAGCCTTTTTAATTTAGCCATAAATTGGGAAAGCTCAAGCTATGAGCTGTTCTATTTTCTCCCTGTCAGGATGAGGGATTTGGTTTATGATGCATTGTGTATTAAATACAAGTAATCTGGGAAAGTGATTGCCTGGCCTCGCCGGGGTCTGATGGAGGCTGGTGATAGAGGCTCCTCAGCTGAATTGTTCTGAAAAGGAGGAAGCGATAGCAGATAAAGGGCCGGTGGTATCTGTACCAAGCCAGGGGTAACACGGGGTAAGAGAACGCACGGGGCAGGGGCAACTCCTGGAGCGTCACCGCGCGCATCTCCGGTAGATGGCGTAGTGAGCTGGGTTTAAAAACTGGAGGAAAACTTTCCTCTTTCCTCAGGAACGAAGTTGCATTTTTTTGCATTGTTGACACGTTGTTTAATGTCATATGTGTAGGAAAAACCTGCAGGCAGTATTTGAATGGGCACAAATGTTTAATTCGATAGATTCGAGGAGTCTAGAGACTGTATTATTTAGAGAACTGGCCGCCTCTCTCTCTCTCTCTCTCTCTCTCTCTCTCTCTCTCTCTCCCTCTCTCT